CTGTTTGCTAAGGGATGAGTGTTTGCCTGAGGTTATTTCTTCCTTCTGGGTAGGAAGTTCTGAGAGGAGACCAGACCAGAGCAGAAGTTGAAAGGTTCTTCTCAGAGCATCCAATAATCACCTACTCACTAGGGCTGGAGAGGACACTGCTGGACATATTTGTCCAGCCCGGACTGTTGAGTAGGGCAACGGACAAGGAACTGCATTAGGGAGGGCAGCTGTCTTGTGGGGTCTCCCCCAATCCTGCCCTGTTTGCTATGGGGTTCCTTGAGCTGCCAACCCCTCAAGAACTTGGCAGCCCTCCACTCAGACCCAAAGGAGGACCCATACCCGTTTACAGGTAAGCCGTGGACACTAACAGCCCAAAGATACTGTCCAGGATGCTCTGGAGGAATTGGGGCCATAGGTGTGGACTCAATCATGAGGCTACGGAGTGAGGGGCTCCTCTGCTTTCTACCGTCCTGATACCCCTCTCTCCCAGACTCTCCCTCTCTCCCAGACTGAACCCCTCACCACCCCCTGGGATCTTCTTCTTCTTCTTTTTTTTTTTTTCCTGTGGGGCTCTTCATAGAACTGAGTAAAGGAACCCAAAGATCTTCTAGATGGCCTGGGGATGTAGCTCAGTAAGAGAGCACATGTTTAGCATGCAAGAGGCCCTGGGTTTGAACCCTAGCACTTAAAAAAAAAAGGACTTTCTAGAGAGGCTAAAGGTTCACAATCCTAAATCTTATGCGAATGGTCCTTTATTTACCACTGCCTACTAACTCTCACTTCATTGAATCTTATTTGGGTAGACAAACTCAAACCTACTATGTAGATTAGGAAACCAAGGCAGAGACAAGGAATCTGGTTTACTCAAGGTCATAAATAATGTTACCCTAGGAGGTGGGGCAGATCACTCCGGGCCAGGTACTTCCCCTCAGAGCTGTGGAGCAATTCATGGAAATGTCAGATGTTGACTCTAGGGCTGTTTTTGTTTGTTTGTGTAACGGCATCTGAGAAGAGCGAGGCTGCACCAGGCCATGGATCTACATTCAGCCATGTGTGTGGCCCATCTGGGGACACCCCGTCTTCTACCCTGCAGCTAGAAGTCCTTTCTGGTCATACCCCCAAGGGAAATGAAGGAACCTGAAGATGACCTAGTCAGGCCCTGGCTCCTCTGCCCTCAGCCACAACTTAGCAGGGGTTCCCCTGGCTCCTGTTCCTTCTTTCCCTAGTGTTGGCTCCTGTTGCATGGGTCATACCCTTTGCGGTCTAATCAGCACTCTCCTCTCCTAGAGAAAGGACAGCCCCTGGTCTCTAGAGACTGACCATTCATTGCTCCTTCAACCCTCACTTCTCCCTTGAGACCTCCAACAGCCCTGAGCTAGAAATGCAAGAGCCAGCTAGAGGCAGCTCAAAGAGGAAGCTGTGGCTCTGCCCTTGCCCCAGACAGGCAGCCTGGTGTCCAGGCCTCTGCCTCAGTCAGGGACATCTTAATTGGGCTCCTGCCCCAGACAGGCACCATCCTGTCTAGGCCCCCACCTCTGTTCCAGCCAGAGTCCCTCTCACCCATCTCCCCTGCCTCCCTTCGCCTGTGAGCTAGGAGTGGGTGACTCACGGTGTAAGCTGAGGGAGATGTTGATGGTGTGCTCATCCACAAAGCCCTTCAGGCCTGGCATGCGGGCACACTTTAGTTGTGTCTGGGCGGCAGTGTCCCCAACGTGGACCCAGCATACGGTCTCGTTGGCATAGCTGAAGTCCATGGCTGTGGTCTGCCGCGTACTGGTAGGTGTGATGGTAGACACCTGGGCCCCACTCAGGTATGTAGCCAGGATGTTCTGGGAGTTGGCAATCAGCAGCACAGGGGGCCGGTCTACTGGTTCTGAGGATGGGGCAGAGAAGGGTCAGTGGAGCTGGGGCCCTTGGATTTCTCAGGCCACTCCCCATCAGGGAACTGCATTGAGGGTGCTTGGCACGGAGGTCACAGGCAGCCCAACCCACCATTCTTCGCCTTGCAGGAGCGGTTGTCAGGTTGCAGCAGGTATCCTTCCACACAACCGCAAGTGAAGGAGCCGTCTGTGTTGGTGCACAGCTGACTGCAGGTACCATACACTGAGCACTCATCAAAGTCTGCCAAACAAAGGATAAGGGTGTGGTCACTTCCAGTGTAGTGAGGGCAGGAATGTGGGTGCCCTTAGATACCACCAAATGTCCCTATACCTACTTTGAAGGACAGTTTTGGTAGAATCTATTATAGTACGAAATGTGCTACACTTACTGCGCAGCAAATCCAGTCTTAAGATTTACTCTAGAGAATCATCACACACGTGCCCATGTCACCCATTCATTCAGAAAACTTTGTTCTGGCGGTGGTGGCACCTGAGATTGAGCCCAGGGCCTCATGCATGCTAAATAGGGCTCAATCACTGACCTATATTCCCAGTCTTTCCATCCCTTAAAGAGGCAGGGTCTCAATATGTTGCCCAGACTGGCCTCAAACTTTCGATCCTCCTCCCAAGCAGCGGGGATTATGGATATATGCCGCCACAAAGAGCTGTAGAAAAGATATCTGAACACTTATGTAGCAGGTATGGGAGATACACCAGTAAATTTTAAAATAGACCCATACTGTTGTCCTCAAGAAACTTATATTTGGGTAATAAATGAAATATTGTTATTATAACAATGAAGAAAAGGTAAAATGTATGTTAGAGGTGCTAGTGTAATGAAAAGTAACTGGTGCTACTGAAAAAAATAGACAAAGAGGGGCTGGAAGGATAGCTCAGTAAGTGGACTATTTGCCTAGTGTGAACAAGGCCCTAGGTTCCATCCCCAGCAATGAAAAACAAATAAAAGGAAGGGAATAGAGAACTCAGGTAGCCGGGGTATGATTTAAGAGCATCCAGGATGGCTTCTCAGAGAAGGTGGCATTTATGCAAAGACTCAAGGGAGGCAAATTTAAAACAGAAAAGTTTGCATTGTTTGTGACAGAGAAAAATTGGGAACATCTTAGTCATCAATAGGAAGATAGCCAAGTAAACTGTGGTAGTACTTATACGTCACAGTGGTTTTTAAAAGAATGAGGTAGATCTCTACATGTAACAGGGAAAAACATCTCTGGAACATATTGAGGAGTGAAAAACATTGTAAATGATACCCACAATATGGTCCTCTCTATGCAAAAAAGCACACACACACACACAAAACACTTTCAATTAGATTTTCTATGAGTTCACATACACAAATGCACACGAGGATCTGCAAAGAGAGATAGCACATTGATAGCAGAATTGACTTCCAGAGAGATGGGAAAGGGACCAGAACTGAAAAGAAGCTGTCAAAGGAAAACAAATGTATCTGTAATGCTTTAATTTTTTTTACAAGAAAATTTGCCTCCAACCCTATAATAAGATGAATTTTCAAAAGCCTGGTGGAAGCAAACGGCTAGGGCTCCTAACTGTGCCCTGGCTCTCCCCTTGCACCTTCTTCTCATTTCCTCTACTCTACCAGCCCCCAGCAGCGCACACACCCACACAAACGTACCTTTGCAGGTCTTGCCGTCTGCCTGCAGCTGAAAGCTGCTGTTGCAGTAGCAGGTGGGCCCGCTCAGTGTGGGGACACAGTGGTGCTGGCAGCCCAGCCGGGAGCAGTTGCCTCGGAGCTCTGTGTGGGGGCGGGAGAGACACACACTCAGGCCTCCAGACCCAGCAGCCTCCCTCAGACAGCAGCCTTCCCTCATCATCTGCCAGTATTCAAATTTGACTTCAAATGGAAGGGCAACACTGTCCAAGAGGGGAAGGGCCTTAGGAAGCGTGTACTGTATTGTGCAAATGAAGAAACGGAAGCCCAGAGAGGGCCTGAGCTCGGCTCAGATTGTCATAGAGGCAATTTCAGCTTAGAACCGCCTCTCGCTGCTCTGGGTGCTCTGGACCACCTGTGTCTCCATAAGGTTCTGGCACTTTGTTGGGGTCAGCAAGAAGAAGATACAGTGAGTCTTATCCCTTTCACACCTCTTATCTGCACGGCCCACATATTACAATGTCAGCTTGGTGAAGAACAGGTATGGACTCAAGTCTGTGTCTAGCTCTGGCCTAGAAGCACACCTTCAACCTGTCTCTTGTGCCCCTGGGGCCTCAGAGACAAGGCTCAAGGTCCAGGTGGAGGATGGAGAGAAGGAGCAAAACTAGTTCTCTCAGAATCCTTTTCCAATCTTTCTTCTGCACTGACCCACTTCCACAGGGGAAACAGAAGGGAGTGAGACAGGAGGAGGGAGAGGTGGTAGAGCAGTTGCCCGTCCCCCCAGTTCAGCGACCCAATTAATGGCCTTGCGTGGGGCCAGGCAGCTGGGCCACAAAGACCCTTTTGTCCAGCTGCCTCACACCCCTACTCCCCACAGGAGAGAGAGTGGCTGAGATGTTAAGGCGTTTAAGGCACTAAGCCTGCCGGGAAGAGTTGAGATGGGGGGCCAGGCCCCAGTTATTCTTTCTCCTCCCCACTTCCACCCAAGAGCCCAAATGTTCTGCCTTCCAGTCCTACCCTAAGATGGAAAATATGGTTTGTTCTAGAAAAGCTAAAAAAGTTTCTCTTCTGGATACAGGGTGGGGGTGGGGTGAGGAGACCTAACTTCTGTAGAAGCAGAGAAATTCAAACCCTAAGTTTTCTAGGTTCTTTGTTGTTTTCAAAACTGAAAAGTTATTCAGATTGAAGCAAACTTGGATACACACAGTCTGACAGGAAGAGGTATTGGTGGTAACTGAAGTTAGCCCCCAAGCCCACTTCTGTATCCTATTCCAGGAGCTGTGGACAAACAACCAAAGGAAAGGAGAAAAATCTCCCTCCACCCTCCCCGCCTGAGAGAAAGGATCCAGATGTGTCTCCTCCCACAGGCAGATGTTTTCTGACGTGTGTATGGCACGAGACAAGAAGGCCTCACCTCCTGCCCTGTGATTATTCCTCCCCCCAGGGCTTACTCAGGGACTCTCCCAGGGTGCCTGATCCAGGACCAGACCTCAGGACAGTAGAGAGGTCACTGTTCCCTGGCAGACAGCTCTGAGGCTCTGTCACTTCCCAATTCCCTGATTTTTTTCTTCAGTTGTCTGTACAGTGATCCAGACTCTCCATGGCCCACAGGGAGACTGCAGAGCTGATGACCTGAGCCACAGGTAGGAAGAAGTCTGATTTATCCTGTAATGTTCCCTCCTTGGGCTGGATGGTTCTCCCACCAACCATCTCTGAAAGTACAGGCTACAAGGAAAGGAGGGCCCAAAGCAGATTTCAGGGCCCCCCCAACACATGCAGTTCCTAGGGACCCTTCCAGGACACTGGTGGGGACAGCAGGTAAACAAAATTCTCCTAGTAACCCCAGCTTCAATCACAGAATCAGGACTTATGTCCTTTTGAAGAAAGGATCCCCCCCACTATTCAGAGCAGAAAGTATAAAACTACTGATCTCTCACTTTATAGATGAGAAGCTGGGGTCTGGAAAAAGCACACACAGTCAGAGGGAAGGGCCAGGCCAGGGCACTTGCTTGATCAAGCTCCAAGCCCAACAGCTCACCAAGGCCATCTGCTACCTGATAGCAAGTCTGGGCAGGGGAGCAGGACAAGGCCTCATCCCCACTGATGGTATCAGGAAGAACAGTCCTTGGGTGGCAGGCCTCCCATCCCAACAGATGTCAGGCAAAGAGCTCACGCATCTACCAGGAATGGCAGAGTGTGGGACAGTCCTTACCTCGGCAGTGAGGCCCCTCATCTGAGCCATCCACACAGTCCTGGACCCCGTTGCAGAGACGGGACATGGGAACACAGAGTTCAGTACCCAGGCAATTGTGCTCATTTGGCTGGCATCGCTGGGCCTTACTCTGTGGACCTGAGGGAAGATGGAAGAGTTGGCATGACCAAGTTTGCTATGGTGACTATCTGGCCAACTTCTACTGAGGGTGAGTGAGGTGGGGATGAACAGACTACGGTTCCAGACACCAGCATTTTTTAGAAGTCTCATATGCTCTTTAGACCCGTCAGCCCATACAGCAGTGATGCTGACAACAAACAGCCTGCTGAGACGTGCATGCCGCACCACTGCCCTAGAGCTTTCATCCACCATTTCCAGAAGCAGTCACACACCTGGGAGTAGGTGGAAGACCATTAGCAAAGGGTCCACTCCCCTAATACCCCATGCCTGTGGGACCAAGCCCTCAGCATTTTGCACTTAGGAGGCAGGTTGTGGTCAAAGGTGAAGGTTTTGCTCAGCTGAGCCCATGGCAGAGAGAAACTCTAATGATAAAAAACATTTCCTTTCCATGGCTCCTCAGGACATGCAGCCTGGGGATGAGAGCGGCATCAAATCTTCTAGAATTGCACTAATATCTGGCACCAACCACACGTGTGGCTAGTAAGTATTTGAAATGTGACTGGTTTAAGCTAATTATAAAATTATAATGTAAATGTAGTTATAAAAACACACTGAGTTTTGAACACTTAATATAAAAAAGGGTAAAGATCTCTGATAAATTTTCTATGGCTAATATATTGAAATGATAATACTTTGGATACATTGGATAAATTATTAAAATAAAGTTAGTTTTTTTTTTTTACTTGTTTAATGTGGAAACTAGAAAATTTCAGACTTGCATGTGTGACTTTCAGTATATTTATATCAGACAACACTCTTCTAGACTTCCAACCCAGGGCACTGCCTTATGAAAGGGTTTGGGAAGAGTCAAATGTTGTGGCCAACTAGCGATGTCTCTGGGACCTCCAGAACTGCCAGGAGGAGGGGTGACTATACATGTGCCTGTGCAGATCCAGGTGGGCCTGGCAGAGTCCACACGCACAAGCGAGGGGCGGGAATGTGGTGGGTCATGGTGAGTGGCAAGGGTTTATGTGAGAGGCTGGTTTGTATGTGCCTCTGTCGGGGCTGGTGTCTGGGTACATCCCTCAGAGTGCAGGCTATGTGTCGGTGCCCTGTGAGAACTGGCCTGGACTGTGCCAACGTGCCTGTGCCTTTGTCAGAGTAGGGATGTGCAAGTCAGTGCGGGGGTGGGGGTCTGTGTGTGTCTATATTATGGGTCCAGGAGCGTGCACAAATTGAGGTGATGTGGGGATGTGTATAGGTGGGTGTGCACCAAACTGAAGAAGAAAATGGACAGAGAGAGCCAGACCTGGGCCATCTGCACGGCTTTCTCTACTTGTGACACTCAAGCACAGGTTCAAAAATGTAGGGTGTAGAGGTGGTGGCAACAGACTAGAAAAGACTCCAGGGCAAATACTCCCGGGCCTATCCCTCCAGGGTGTGGTGGTGAGGCTGAGAGAAGTGATGGCTTCTTTTTTGACCCTAAAATTACCTCTAATAGGGCCAGGGATTTAGCTCAGTGGTGCCGATGCCTGCCTTGAGTTTGATCCCCGGTACCAAAAAAATACCCCCAAAACAACAACAACAAAAAAATTACCCCCAGTAAGTATAGGCTTAGGTAGGTGGGGACATGGGATGGGACTAGAGCAGGATAAAGCCAAGGAGAGAAGAGAGACAGCCATGGAATAAAGGGTCATCTAGACCCTGAGCCAGATTAGTCAAGCAGGGAGGATGCTGAAGTTAGAGACCCCCCAGGACTGCCAGCTGCCCAGGACATGGGTCCTGCCAGCAAGTCCTCCACCCCTCTACTGGCAGAGTGAAGACTGGGTGGGGACCTTTCTCCCAGTTTAAACAGCTGCCTCTGATTACACCATTTATCAGGGGGCAGGGAAAGGCAGGGAAGGCGGGAAATGCACAGGGGTGGGGCTTCTGGTGCAGAAGCTGAGCAAGACCCTGGCCTTTGGCCTGAGAGCCTAAGGACAAAAAGGTACATGGGAGGACCTAGAGGCCACTCAAGGGCCTAAGAGGCTCAAAACTGGGAAGAGGAGGAAGGGCTGCCAAGCCATCTCCTGTGGCAAAGCCACAGCCCATAGGACACAATCCCTGACAAGTTCAGGGGTGTAGTAGCCCAGGGAGACATCAAGGTGCCGTTCTTATGCACACCAGACAAAGTTCTGGGCACCGTGAAGAGCGGGGAGAGGACAGTTTTAGCTGTGTCATGGGCAAACATAGCCACAGAGCAAGGTCCACAGCAGGCTAGTGAGCACCTGTGCTCATCTCCAACCTCTGCCAAAGGAAAGGAATGTCAAGGGCTTGGAAAGAGGGACCCAGAAAAGGTACTTACAAATCTCAGGGGCCTCATCAGAGCCATCTGGGCAGTCCCTCTCACCATCACAGCGCCAGCCCTTTGAGATACAGGTGATTTGGTCTCTGCAGGCAAACTGCTTAGGGCTGCAAGTCTTAGGGGCTAGGGGCAAGAAAGAAAAGGGAAGTATGAATGAAGGGTGGAAGCCAACTCTGAAGCACTGAGGCTCCCTAAGACGACCCTTTCTTCCCCAACGTTAGTCCCTACCCCACCCCGATTCCATCCATGGTCCATGTGCTTGGCTACTGGACACTCTGTAGCCATGGGAGGGGAGGGATCCAAGCAGGGCTTTACTGTCCCCGCCCCTACCCCCAAGTCCTCGGGTCTACGTGAGCAGTATGCCTTTCCTCCCCCTTCAGGGTTAAAGCCCTTGCTACTCTTGTCACTCTGACTAGACACTAATACCTCAGGCTTTGCTGACTAACACTTATTGGTGGGGGGAATGAGTTTGCTGAGTTTTCTTTTCATTTTCCTTTGACTCCAACTAGTAGCTGAGCACTGGCCATTTCCAACTTCTTTGCTTCTCTGCCCTCTAGGACACTGAGACACTCCTGGTCCTTGACCCATCACCCCAGCCAACCCCAACCCAAATCACCAGGTCTCCAGATGGCAACTATGTATAGGGGGTACCCTTGGTGCACAGAAGAGCTCAGAGATGGCAGGGCAGACACCCCAGCTGCCACTTCCACTTTTTAAAACCACAGCGTCCTTGTTGATCAGACCTCAGGGGGAGACTTCTTATAGAAGTCCTCAGGTAAGAGGTACCAAAAGACTGTTCAAGGTGGTACAGATAGAGAACAGAGGCAGTGGTAGCAGGCATGATCAGTAGCAGATAGTTTCTGCCCACCAACCTGTGCAATTACTGTATCTGAGACCTCCAGCCCTGCCCTTTCACCCTATGCTCTTCCTTCCCTTGCTGCCAAGGAAGAGTTAGAACAGTAGCATCCAATTCTTATTACTGAGGGCTTAGTATGTGTTGGGAACTGTGGTAAGCCAATACTTTCCATGTATCATCTTCTCTAATCCGCCCCACAGGATGACAAAGAAGGGACCACTCATACCACCATTTCTCAGAGGAGGAAACTGGGCCACACTTGCCTGGGGCCACACAGCTGGCAAGCGACAAAACCAGGACTCAACGCAGTTCAGCTGACTTTAGTGTAGTGTATACCAGTCTACTCCTGAAAGAGGCTGAAAAGCAGCTCCACCTACCCCATCACCATGTCCTCCACAGTGGTCCTTAGCTCCCACCCAGGACCATGTTCCCAGTCTCCCGGTTCCTCATCACCTTTTTCTTGGCCTGTGTCAAGTCCGCTTCCATTCTGCTGGCACATATGGAAGGCCACCCCTATGCCAGGCACTGCACTAGGCACTGTGGTACAAGGAAGGACCTTATTCCCTCTCTGCCCCTCAGGAACAAGCCTTCGAGGAAGACAGCTGTGAACAGCTAACTCAAATGCAGGGCAGAGATGAAAGTGTAAGAAAAGTGTGTCAGGGCTCCAAGGGAGGGAGGAAGTCTGATGGGGGTCACATTGAGATGTCTTCCCTCACTAACCCCCATCTCTGGCAGAGGGGACTGCACTCAGGCCCCTGGCCAGAACCAGAGCTGAGTTCAGGAAACACATCAAGGATGGCCTAGCCAGCCCCCCAGCCGAGTCCCCCTTCCACCCCCCCACACTGAGCCGGGAATAAAGGCCCCTTGAGGAGGTGGATAATGCTGAGTTCATTGCCCCACTGGGCCAGCTGTGAGGTCTTCCCGGGAAACACAGCCCTCCAGCCTAGTTAGCATGCCGGAGAACCACCGCTTCCCCTGGCCAGCCAGGCTGCCTGAGGGGGGAGAGGGGGCTGCAATGGGACTCAAAGGCAGATGGGACACTTGGAGCCCAGAAATGGACCCCCATGCTGCCCTCAGCTCTGTGACACTTCTTTCCTCCTCCACCTGGGACTTGGTCTGCGCCCCCACCCCTCCCCAGGCCGGAGGTCATGGGTTGGTCACTCTAACCTCCCTTCATTACACATCCCAGCCATGGTTCCCCTGCCTTGAGCCCTTACATAGTCCCCCTACTGTCCCCCACCCCCATTTTTGGCCTGAACTCCACAGAGGAAACAGCAGCTGGCAAACTCCGAAAGCTGGAATGAGAGATTCACAAACCAGATGTGCTCTTTCTGAGAGGGGAATGGGGGATGGGGGCAAGGGAAAGGAAGAGGAGGGCTCAGCCCCTGTCCAAAGCAGCATCTCCTCTGGCCCAGGGGTAGAGGGTTGGTGGGGGCGCACATCTCCAGAAGGCAGGGACAGCATAAGGATCATGGAGAGATAAGTGAAGGAACTTCCCTCCTGTCCCCAAGGGTGGAGAAAGCCCCAGGAATCTCAAATGAGAAGGCTGAGGCCTGTCTTTGATTTCCTTCAGGGGAAGAGGGGAGGAAAGAAACACATAACCTACTTTGGGGCAGTCTCCACAGCCAAGGGAAGCCTCCTCTGAGTTGGGGTGGGGGTAGGGGTGGAAACTTAGAATCTGCTGAGAGGCAAAGCCAACCCCACACTCCTCAGCTGAGCCTCGAGCATCTGAATCTAGCACCCAAAAAACCTACCTTTGTGGCCTGCGGTTCATATGGAAAAACAATATTGCCCTAAGCTCAGAAGCAACCAATAGCCTCCCCCTACCTCACATGAGGTTATATTCTTGAACATGGATGGTCACTATTGCCAGCCACAGATCTCACACACTCTCCATAGTAACTCATGTAGATCCTCACAACCTTGCAGAGGTGGGTGCCTTGCAAACCCCATCTTACAGATAAGAAAACTGAGGAATGATGAGTAACTGAACACTTGGAATCCAACAGGAAAAGGGCAGGGAGAATGCCGGTTGTCTGTTGCTGGAAATGGGGACATGGAGTAGTAGGGGGTGGCCTTCAGGGCTCCTCCACAAGGAGAAGGACACAGAGGTGACAAAGATAGATAAGAATGAGACAGAAGAGGGGAGAGGTAAGAGGGAGAAGAGGGAGGACAGGACTGGAGAGGGAGGAGAGCGAGGAGCGAGCAAAGTTCCAGGAAGAACACCAGGACACAGGGCCGTCTGTTCTCAGCTTTGCCTGGAGATGAATGTGACCGCCATGCTAACTTGGCCAACACCCTGCCCACCCCCTCCAACCTAGGTGTTTGGCCCGGCCATGGCCCCCAGGGCCACCAAACTGGAGCCAGGGCAGGAGGTATGGGGTTGGGTGAGTGTCCAGACACAACACAGACCCCCTGCCCTGCTTGAGCCTTGGCTGTCATCCTCTACCCCACTCTGGGACCTGGGGTGTGGGGTGAGAAAGGGAAGCAAACATGTCTGGCCAGAGAAGACAGAGAGGCAGAAAAGCCCAGGCTTGGCAGGAGCCTTCTTCACAGGAGGGGACCCACCTCTCAGTACCTGCTGAGGGGCCTCAGATGGTACCTCCTAAAGGACAAGGAGACCAAGAGGCAAGAAAAGCCTCAAAGAGACCCTGGGGCCTGTCCCAAGCATTGACACAGCAGAGGGACAGATAGGCTCCTCTCTGAGATAGGTGGAGGATGTGTTCTAAAGGGAGCCACACGGTACATCTAAGGGGACAGAGAAGCCTAGACACGGAGGGTTGGGGGGCAAAGCCTGCAAGAATTTAAACTTTCAGACTTAGGGGTGTGGGGCAGCAAGGGCCTTCCAGACCCAAACTTAGAGCTTTTCAGCAAATTTTATGTATTTTGGATGTTACCGGGTGGCTCCTTTCGCAGCTCAGTGAGGCTCAGACACATTTTTGTCATTCCTGAGTCTGGGCCCCTGCTCTGCGGCCTGGACAGATGGACAGACAGGGTGGCTTGGACTGCCAGAGGAGAAGGGTCTCCCATTCCACCCTGAGTCAATATTGACTCAGCAGGACATTAGCCTGACCCGTGACCTCTCTATCATCTTTTTCTTCCCCCACAAATAAAATCTAGACCCCTCAAATGGAGGCAAAGGTCAGCATATCTCTGTGTGCCATTATAAGCCCTCGATCCTGCACACCACACACACACACACACACACACACACACACACACACCGTGCGGCCTAAGCTCACCAAAAGCAAAAACTCTCAGCTCTTGACCTTCTCCCTACATCTCCCTCCTGTTCTCAGTCTCCTGTCAGGAGGAAGTTCTGCCAGAAGTCTAACCTTCCTTCCTTCTGAAATGCCTCCTTTCCCCCTCTTAGCCCATAACGGGTATCAAGTTTCTTTTTTCCAGAAACATTCTTTCTACAACTTATTCCCAAAATTCATGAAGCAATAAGACAGAGGAATTTGAAGAAAAATGGAGGGGAAACTTTCACCATGGAACTGGATGATCTGAGTCTGGACAGGGAGAGGAAGAATAATTTCAAAATGGTAAGTGGGGGAGCTAGGGAGTAAAGGGGAAAGCCCAAGGAGGTCTCCCCTTCCAGGCAGTGTTTGGGGTACCAAAGGGCCTGGATGAAGTAAATGGAGAAGGCACAAGACAGTAAAACAGATAATAGGACAGGGTTAGGGCGGAGAATGCCACAGAGGATGGGAAAATAGAGAGATGAACCAAGAGAGAGAGGGACAACACACTCAAATGACAAACAAGCAGACAGACAGAAAAGAAAGGAGGCAGGCAAAAGAGACGGGAAGGGGGCTCAGCCCAGAGGTTGCCAAGACGGTGACACAGTTGTCCTAGGATGAACCTGGGAATAACTATCCCACTGAGACTCAGGGTAGGGTGGGGGCAGCATATATCCTGGCTTGTGGAGACCGTCACAGCATTCCCAGTGTCTGACCCAAGGAGACCCAGAATAGAGACTCATCCCTGCTTCTGAGAGGCAACTGCTACTTCTCCCACACCCCTCAGCTCCTTCTTGCGGAGTCTTTACACTGGTGCCTGAGGCCACTGCACCAGGCTTTACACCAGTGCCTAAGGCCACTGCACCGGAAACACTCCAGAGTCAAATGCTTCCTTCTCCAAACAATGCTGGATCCCGCTAACCACTCTGAAATCTGGGACAGAAGGGGGGGGGACGGGACGGGACGACCAGGTTCCCTGGGGCTCATACGGAGCCTGCCAAGTCAGGGACCCTTTCACAGTCTCAACTCGACAGCACCAGACTCCCCAAGGACAGTGAGTGGCCTTCACTCTCTCCCCCAGATAGCACTAGAAGGGTGGGCTGTCCTCGAGGCGGAGAAAGTCCTGAGAGAGAACAGTGGGGAGGCACAAGCTGTAGGCTTTGGGTTTTGATGAGCAAGACTGAGACTGCAGCAGGAGAAAAGACAGTGAGATTTCAGGAAGGAAGGACTTCCCAAAAGTAAGGAAGAGGGTTCGGTTTTGTGCCGGGCATTGAACTGAGGGCCTAAGCACGCTAAGCTCCTACTCTACCACTGAACTAAAACCCCAGCCCAGGAAGGAGTGTTGAAGAGTGGGGAGATCAGGGCAAAATTTGACTTTGGCCAGTGCCCTGGCTGATGACCCTGAGAGGCTTAGTGATAGGAAGATGGTCAAAGGTAGAAATAATAATAATGATGGTGATAATAATTTTTTTGAAGACTGGAGAAAATGAAGCAGAAACAAGACTGGAAGAAAAAGAAGGCTGAGGAAGCAGCCCCAAACATCAAAATAATCCCCAAATGAATATTGTACATTCCCTGCTTTGAAAGATGAAGATACGAAGAGTTGATATTTAGGACTGGTCTGAGCAGGGAGAATGGAGTTTGGAACCTTCTCTTACCGAATCAGCCTCATAATTTATTTCAGCTGTTTGCCAACTCCAATAACATAATACCCCAGCTCAAGGGGGTGTGTGGAGTGGGGAGAAGAGAGAGAGAAAGTCATTCTTCCCTGAGCCCTTTCTGTGGAGGTGCCTTCTCCACTACAAAATGTCCTTTAATCTCAGCAGGGCTGTCAGTGATCCTTCTTCCAACCCCATCCTATCTTTTTCCCATCTTCCCCAGTAGCAAGTACAGTACACACAATTTTGTCTACTGGGGGAGGGGGTGAGTGACAATTCTCCCCCCAAAGAAGGGACGCCTGGGGACAGTTTCACGTACAGAAGAAAAGGCAAAAGAGGTGAGGAAGGCCCCTAGGCCTCTCCCATGGAAAGAAACAGGGCCTAGGACAGCAGGAAGAAGACACTAGTAAGGTAAGCTGGGCCAGGTTTCCTTTTCTGGAAAGCAGAGGAAGTTCCTTGGATCTGGAAGTAAGAAGTAGGGACCTGGATGAGGGGTTGCCATTGGATAGAGTTGAACCTACATTTCTATGAATTTCTCCTTTCCTACCCTCTAGAGTATTTATATTCCCATTCCTAGTGTGTGTTTGGGGAGGAGTCCTCTTCCTGGGTTTCTGAATAGAGTTTGGTCTGAGCTGGGGATACACAGGTGGGCAAGGTAGTTTTAAGGAAGAGTAGAGAGGGCGGGGGATTTAGCTCAGCGGTACAGCTGCCCACTGTGCAAGTGCAAGGTCTGGAGTTTGATCCCCAATACCAAAGAAAGAAAGAAAGTGTAGGTAGACAGTTAAGGAGAACATGTTGTCTTCCTTATCCAATCAACATGGTGTGGCAACCAGGACCCCTCTGGGATGAGAGTAAGGCTCCCCGGGACCCATTCCTGATTGGGTTGGTGGTCTCTTTTGCTCTCCTCTGAGACTCTGCTTCTGTCTAACTCTACCCACCTTCCTTCACAGGACTCCTGATGGAGCTCCTTCTCACTCAACATTATTTTCTTTCCCTCCCAGAAGTAGCTGCACCTAAATATCTCTGCCTCAATTTCCCCTCTCCCCTCACACGGCCAAAAACAAGAGGAAAGAACTTGATAAGAGAGGCAGGCAAAGGCAGAAGGTAGCTGTGGGCAGGTGTGGAGGATTTTCAGGGCAGGGCCTTTTTCATTCTCTTCGAAAGATAATTGTGGTGGGGGGTGCAGACAGCCCCCAAGACGCATGATTAAGGGCCACCGAATAAACTGTTTTTCTGGGCACAGCTGCTTTCTGATCCTCTAGCTCTCCTCCCCCAAGTGGAGTAACTTAGGGAAAGGAGAGATAGACAGATAATTTGATTTCAAGAAAAACTTTCCCTATCTCATTCTGGCAAGATTTAGAAGGCAGAGGAGGGGTGCATGACAGTATGAGACTGTGTTGTGCCTTGGTGAGAAGGCAAAGAGATCCCATTGCTTTTCAAGTCAGGGACCAGCCCAACCCAACCCCTTGACCCCAGCTTAAATCTTGGGCAAGGCTTAAACCAGTGACTCACAAGTAAGAAGAAAAATAGCTGACAGAAAAGGGGATAAAGGCACCCCGTTTCCCAAAAGGACAGAGTTTTAGCCAAAGCCTAAATGCAGCAGTATGTGTGAGCGGGATGGAGGGAGGTTAAAGGAGCAGCTGGGGTCGGGGGGCATAGTCATAACCCCATCCAACCTCCAACTCTCCTTCTGGTCCACCCAAACTGTGATCAAACCAGAAGTGAGGGAGGACCCCTCCTGCCCTCTATCCCAGCATTTCAGGCCACTCTCCAGTCCCTTTCCCCAGTGATGACATCTGACATTTTCTTCATCCCAGGGCTCTCAGGAATGAAGGAAAACTCAAAGTCACATAGCATCATCACCCCCTCTTCATCCCCAAAACAGCTCTACTCAGACAACTGACAGAGACCCTAAGAGAGGGAGGTGCCCACTTTGGAACCCAGGCCTTCAAGCCTGGGCTCCTGTGCCGATTCTACATCCAAGCAGGGGGCCCTCCCTCTCCCCATCCACAGTCTTGTCAGGCCAGCCTGCCTTAGGCTCCGCAGGGCACCCCTGGCCTGGCTTCCCTCTGGAGTCTTCAGAAGCCACTGCAACCCACCTCCCAACCCCTTTTGCAGCCCTACATTGCAAATCCGGATTCCTTCACAATTCAGATGGGGGGGGGCAGGAGGGTGGAGGATGTAGGGGAAGCAGAGGCCCTCCCCAACCCGAGATAGGAAGAGAAGGCCTCTCGATTCAGGATCCGAAAAAGGGGGAGTCCTCTTCTCCCTAGCCAAGCCTTTGGTCTTTGTCTAGGCTGCCCCCACCAACCGTCATTTGCCCAGGGCCCCCATTCCCCAAATCAGACCCCCATCCCCGCCCCCAGTCAGCCCGCTGCTGTGTCAGCTAGACTGGGTAACAAAAGGCACCCCCTCCCACGTCTCCCTTACTCATCGGTACGCAGGAGTGGAGGCTGGGGAGGGGGTCCTCCAGGGGTCCAGGAGGCCGCGGAATCTCACTCACCATCGATAGCGGCCGTGACCAGAGATGAGAGCGAGGGCAGCAGCAGCAGCAGCAACAGCGGCGGGGTCAGCATGGTGTGGTCTGATGCAAGCAGCAACCCCCTCCCCCCTGGTCCTGCCACTTCTCTCCCTCGCCCCCCCCAACCGGGGGGTCCCCTTTTATCTTCTTCTCCCCCGCGTCTGTATTATTCTTTCCTTCAGCAAAGAGCACCAGGGGCGTGGGTGAAGAGGTAGTTCTGAGCCCCGTGGGAAGGGCTTGCTGACCAGGGTGCGCCCCCTACCCCCAAATCCAAACCCTTCACCCCCAGCTTTACTCCTGGCTCCTCTTTCCCTCCCCAGGCGAAGCTCAAAGCCCCATCTCAGAGCCGCCTCCGGCTGCAAAAATGCACAATTGGGAGGAGGCGGGGTGGGGGG